TCATGGAAATATAGGTCACTTTGAGGTTCTGATACTTAGTAAAATATACATGTATTGGGGGAGAAAAAACCCACAATTCCTAAATCTGTCATAATACATTTTACCAGACTACAGAAAGTTTTTGAACACTCTATATGAAGCTTTTTGATCTTCACTAGGGAAGAAATTTTGTATTTATATACCTTTTGTAAAAAGCCTGCATAATTTAGAAACATCTGAAAGAGAAAAATAAGAATATTGGGGACTTTACTAGGTGAATAAATATTATTTCATGATTTTTCAGTGATAACTAAATCTATATTATGTCAAAGAGTCCTCAACCTGAAACCTTTATAACTTTTGGCATGGTGACAGCTTGAAAGTAAAATTAGTATTTTGGATTTTTTTTTTAATTCCATAAATGCCATGGGAATTTTATCATGTTTCAACACTTTCTGAATATGTAATTCCCATAGTGCCCATTAGTGACCATCTGTGTAAGGTAATACATATTTGGGATGAAATTGATTACAGCCCGAACACCCTAGTGTTATGATCAGGAAAAGCACGCAAAGTTCACATCTTTTTTCCTAATGATCTCTATGTAGCTGAAGATATTAATTTCCAAAGGCAGAACAGCCTATCACTCAAGATCTTAATCTCACAATAAATGACACCAGGGCAAAAGGATAGGAGTCTGCACAGCCTTGCACTAAAATTAATAAGTGCTGTTCCCGGGAAGCTCTTAGGATAAAGGGGAAATGAACAGATTTTTGGAGCAGAGTGTTTTCTTTTCACACATCAATGTAGGCCCACACCAGTTTTTCTGAACGTTCAGAAATGTTTTATTACCCTTCTAGAAATCCCTATTATCACCAACACACTCCATGATCACCTGCTTGTAACTTTCCTGATCATACCTTGCTAATCCTACGTCTTTGATCCTTTGTGTTAATTTTGCTTGTCTTGAAAATGTTTTCCTTTCACCTGTACAAATCCAGATGCTTTCCTTATTTTAAATATGATTTCAACATGATCTCCAGTGAAGTCAGTTGTGTGTGGTGATGCTTATCTCTATATTTTCTGAATTTTCATTTTTTCCGCTTAAGAGTAGAGCTCATCAAATATATTTGACTATATTTCTAATGAATATTTTGACTCTCTATGTAGTTACGCAGTGTTTTGTGAAATATATTACAAAAAATAATTCTGTTTTGGGGGGAAGGTTTTGGTTTTGGTTTGTTTTAGTTTGGTTTAGAGAATTTTAAGGATTTGTATTACTGAACTATCGCCGCAATCATTAAGAAACCTTATGATATCTTCCATAGAATATTTAAAATTCAAACACAACTACATCCTGCTCCTCACTGGGATGTGAGCCTGAATGATGTAACTGCAAATACCCTAAAAGTAGCTGGAAGAACTGATGGAGTCGTTGTCTAAATGTTGAAATATAGCAATTATAACGCTGGCACAGTTGATGCTGAACTGTTCTTCCTTTTTTTCCTTGAACTTCTTGATGATAATTATCTATCAGGTTATGATAGATTTCAAATCTGCTTCCCATTAAAGGTAATGAAATAATATTATCTTCTTAAAGAAGATGATATTTACTTTCCTGTTTTATATATCATATACCGAGAAGTCATGCATCAAGTGTATCTAACAGCTGTGTGCATTATTTGGAACACACTGAAAAGAAAATGGTCTAGATTGCAGTGATGTTTTTTAACTTTTGGATTATGGATTTTGTTTTTGTTTGTCATGAGCTCACTTAGTGAAAATACTGACTGCTGCCTCAATATTATGGAAATACAAAGATAAATAGGACATGGCCCCTACTTTTGAGGAAAACTACTAGGGTCACACATTTAAACAGCTCAGCTTAATACAGATTGAGTATCCTTTATCTGAAATGCTTATGAATAGATTTCAGATTTTGGAATATTTTATGTGCATCATGAGATACCTTGAAGAGGAGACCCAAGTGTAAACATAAAATTCATTTTTTGTATATGCCTCTTTCACAGAGTGTAAAGGTAGTTTTATGTTATAAATATTTATATTTTTTGTACCCAGGTTTTAACTACCACATCACATGAAGTCAGATGTGGATTTTTCCACTCATGGCATCATGTTGGTGTTAAAAGCATTTCAGATTTTGGAGCATTTCAGACTTCAGATTTTCTAATTAGGGATGCTAACCCTATATGGTAAGATATGGAAAGATGGGCAAATTTCTGAGTACAGCAGAGGGGAAAACTTGTTTTGAAAGGCAAAGGAAAGCTAAAGTAAGCTGTCACTTTTGAGTTTGGTATCACAGAATACACCAGGTTTCACCAGCAAGTAAAGAATATGTGGTATATCTATTAATAGACAAGATTGTTTGTGTATCCCATGAAAACATCTTGCACATGCACAGCTCTCTCTAAGTCCATTGTGGCAGAGACTGTTGGCTGACTAATTTAACAATCATTCCCATCTGCCTTCTCCCTTGATGTCTCCCCTGTGGAACTGAGAAAAGCTAAATACTGATGGTTAGTGATATCCATGTAACACAATCTGGCTAACTGGCCATGTTTGGAAATATGCTGAGGGTTTTTTAAAATAATTTTGCTTTTTCAGATAAGAGACCCTGTTGATATCACTTCCTTACTCTTGTCTTCAATATGGCTGCTATAATTATACCAGTGAGGGCCACTGAGACATTGAGAGCACTCCGGAAGATGAATGGAGATGTGCTTGAGCCATAACTGCCTACTTCAGTACTACTTATGGGGAAAATCAAATCTTCACTTAAGCCATTGTAGTCAGATTTTTCTATTACTTGCAGCCAGAAGCATTCCTGACTGATACCGGAATTAGCCACACATGCAAGGGTATGGAGAGAGCAAGTCTGCCAGCACCATTTTTCCAACTGCATGTTCTCACTTCAGGTCTCTGTGTTACATCTTGATAATTCTTGCAATATTTCAAGATTTTCCCTCATTGTTATATTTGTTATGGTGATCTATGGTCAAGGATCTTTAATATCATTGTAATTGTTTTGGAGGGCACCACAAATTGTGCCCACATGAGACACTGAAGTTAATCAGTAAATGTTGTGTATGTTCTGACTGTTCCACCAACCAGCCATCCCTCCATCTCTGTCCCTTTCCACAGGCTTCCTTTTTTGAGATACGACAATATTGAAATCAGACGAATCAGTAAACCTACAAAGGTCTCCAAGCATTTAAGTGAAAGGAAGCGTTGCCTGTCTCTCACTTTAAGTCAAAAGCTAGAAATGGGTAAGCTTAGCAAGGAAGGCGTGGCTAAAGACAGGTAGACTGAAAGCTGGTCTCTTGCACCAGTTAGCCAACCAGTGAATGCAGTGGGAATGTCCTCAAAGGACATTAAAGTGTTACTCCAGTGAACATATGAATAATAAGAAAGCAAATCAGGCTTGTTGCTGATATGTCACAGTTTTAGTGATCTGGATAGAAGATCAGACCAACATTCCCTTCGGCCAAAAACAAATCCATAGAAAGGCCCTAACCCTCTGCAGTTCTGTGAAGGCTGAGAGAGGTGAAGAAATAAGGAAAGAAGCCATCTCCACAGTTGGAGATGTACAGGGCAAAGCAGCAAGTGCTGGTGAAGAAGCTGCAACACGTTGTCCGAAAGGTCTAGTGGAGATAGATGAAGAAGGGCGCTGCTCTCAACAGCAGGTTTTCAGTGTGGATGCAACAGTCTTATCTTGAAGAAGACACCATCTAGGACTTTCATAAAGTCCTAGGACTTTCTCTGTTGCATTAGAGAGATTTTATATCTGACTTCAAAGGACAGACTGGCTCTCTTATTATGGCCTTCAGCAGCCACCACCCTGATCAGTCAGTGGCCATCCACATCAAGGCCAGATCCTCCACCAGCAAGAAGATGATGACTTGCTGAAGGCTCATGACCATTAGCAATTTTTTAGCAATAAAGTATTTTTAAAGTATTTACATTCTTTTTGTTGGTTGGTTGGTACTGGGGATTGAACCCAGGGGCACTCAACCACTGAACCAGGTCCACATCCCTATTTTATTTTTTTTATTTTTAGACAGCATCTTACCAAGTTGCTTAGGACCTCACCAAATTGCTAAAGCTGGCTTTGAACTTTCGATTCTTCTGCCTCAGCCTCCGGAGCCACTGGGATTTCAGGCATGTGCTACCATGCCTGGCTACATTGTTTTATACATAATGCTCTTGCATACTTAATACACTATACTATATGATAAACATGACTTTTATGCACACAAAAAAATTCACATGACTTGTTTCATTGTGATATTTGCTTTATCATAGTGGTCTAGAACCAAATCCATAATATCTTCAAAGTACACCTCTATTAGTTGTGTTCAGTCTTGTGTGAAGGATACTGTCTAATGAGCAATACTTCTGTGGTATTCTGACCTTCTCCTGTGCAAAGTGGAACAATGAGAAAAACGCTCAACCTGTTCTTTCTTAAAGATACCAATGCTATAACTTTGTTTACTGCTCTCCTCCTCATTTCTAATTTTATCATGTATACATTCCCTGATAATACTTCAGATTGCAATTTGACAATATTAGTATATATCCTTTTCTTTTTAAACAAATCATTAAGATTGCTTTTCCCCTGTGGTAATCTTCCTTATTCTGTTTTGTCTTTCTTGATAGCTACCTGCTCCTTTTTAACTGACTTTTTCTTTTCCCCTTATAAATATTTTTGGGCTTTGTTTTGTTGGGGTATGGTATTTGTTTGTTTGTTTGTTTGTTTGTTTAGAATTTGCTTTTAGGGAGACAGTAAGGTAAGACAGTCTTACTGTCATGGAAAAAATATTCTGGATGAAAGTCAAGGATCCTTAAGAGAGAGAGCTCAGTGGAATAGTTGGAACTTACACCTAAGTCCATGAATTATCATTAAGTCTCTGATTTTCAAACAACTATGTACTTTAATTCTTGTTTTTAAAGAATCTAAACTAGTTGGATTCTTAAAAATTTTACCCCTCATTTTTTTCCAGAACCTTCAGCTACTTGGAGCTACAGCTATTGAGGATAAATTACAAGATCAAGTGCCTGAAACCATAGAAACTCTGATGAAAGCAGATATCAAAATCTGGATCCTCACGGGGGACAAGCAAGAAACTGCCATTAATATTGGTAATTCACTTAATTCAGGTGCTTTTTAACAGATAGATATATTTTAGAAGGTGTATTTGAGATGTTTCAATATTTGAAAGAGTTGATATATCAAGATTCCAAATTTATATTCTTAGACCTTCCTATTTGTTTACTTAGAGCTTCAATACTGCCATTAACATTGCAGTGGTTTTATATGCAACCAAAATTGAGCTCTCACAACCTCATATACCCTCTCTCACCTTTGCATCCTGCCTCCTCATGTGGCATTCGTGAGGGACACATGCTGATAATACTTCTGTAGTTGTCTGTGAGGGTCTAGGGATTAGATTTGTGGCGTGCTTGTGTACTGACGCTTGTTTATGTGACCAAATGTTTCTGAGATAGGAAGTAAGAAAGTTGCTAGTTTGTATTCTTCCTACAGTCAATTCAAATTATTTTGGAAAATAGAAAAGTTTGTATTAGCTCAAGCTGCCATAACAGAATATCTTATATAGGGTGACTTAAACAATAGAAACTGATTTTTCTGGAGACTGGAAATGCAAGAGCAGAGTGCCCAGGGTTGGTTTCTGGTGAGGCCTCTCTTCCTGGCTTACAGGTAGCTGCCTTCTCATGTCCTCATGTAGCCTTTGCTCTGTGCACATGCACCACTTGTATCTTTTTCTTGTAAGGACACCGGTTCTGTTGCATTAGAGCCCTGTCTTAGTCTCTTTGCATGGCCAAAAAAAAAAAAAAAAATGCCCTCAGTCTAATAACTTGTAAAGAGAATAAATTTACATCTCACAGTTCTGGAGCAGAGGTCAAGGCACCACCAGATTCAGTATCAGATGAGGACACACTTTCTGATTTACAGATGGCATCTTCTGTGTCCTCACCTGGTAGAAGGGGCAAGGAAGTTTTGGAGGCCTCTTTTATAAAGGCATTAATCCATTTATAGGGGTAGAGCCATGCCAACAGCCCACCTCCTACTACCATCACACTGGTAATGAGCTTCAGTATTGAATTTTGGGGAGACAAATATTCAGACCATAGCAGGCCCCACACCATGACTCCTTTAGCCTTAATTACCTTTTTAAAGGTCCTGTGTACAAATAGTTACATTGTGGGTTAAGGTTTCAGCATAGGAATTTCAGGGCTGAGAGAAAAATTCAGTTCATAACAAAGGTCTTACTAAGAAGAAAGTTAATATTTGGTATTAGAAGCCTATAGTACCAGTACTACACCAAAAGAAACACCTTTTTTCCCCAAATTCAGTAATAGTAGGTAGCCTGAGCACTGTAAATCTTTGTATAGATTTAACCTCTTATTATTAGTCATATACATTATGTACAGAAATCCTCCAAAGTTACAGAAAACAGGACTGAAGTGTTCACATCATGAAACCACAATTTTGGAAAGTCATTTTTAAGTATTCTCTAAAATACACTTAGCTCATATTCCTTTTGAAAATATTAGCAGTCAGCCTGAAGTATCCTATAGATCGAAAACTCTATACAAAGTTATAGTAAATTAATGTTACTAATAGAATATTATTTATTTTAGGAGAAAAAAGCATACAAATTTATTAACATACATGGGGGAAATTACAGAAGTTTCAATACCCTGAAAATTAATTTTTATTTTAAAAAAATCAACAAATTATGTAGTAGAATGTTAAATTTACAAGCCACACAGTTGTTAATTTTGATCATAAAAATTATCACTGGTGTTTAGAGAAAAAATGAAAAGAAGATGTCTGAGAAGGGAATTATGATAAAATGCAAGATGGGTCAAGAATTGGAAGACCTGAAAACACAGGGTAAAACTTAAGACAACAGATGGAGAAAATATGGTGAAGAGTGAGATGTGAGGAAAGGAGGCACTCAGGAGTCGTAGCGTAGGGTGTGTAGTCACTGTGGGTGATCTAGGAAAGGGAGGAGGGTAGTAATTTCTGGCAATGTTTAGCTTCTAGAATCTTGTGCCATGATTGATTCTAGAAAAAGAGACGAGTTTCATTCAGCAAATGGCTGTGGTGTCCACAGTGCCGGGTTCCAGAGAAGTGCAGGAAACAAGAAGCCAACTCTCTGCCCTTGTGGAAATCAGGTCCTAGTCAGGGAAATAGACAAAGTAAATGAAAAAAAAAAAAAAAAGCACAGAGTATATTGGATTTCAGTGATTGGTATTACACACACACACACACACACACACACACAGTGATAGGGCATCACCCAAAGGAATTCATTGTTAAGTAGGAAGGTCAGGAAGAATTCAAGGTGACATTTGAGAAATGACCTGAGAGAGGAAGGGAGCTTGTCATGGGATGATCAGAGGAAAACTGCTTTCTGTTGTAGAAAGAGCACAGGAGCAGAGCGGGCACGGCAGAGAAGGGTGGGATGGGGCTGCTTAGGGCCTTGTAAGGACTTTGCACTCACTCCAAGTGAACAGGGAAAACACGGGCTGGTTCTCAGCAGAGACAGACATGATCTGACTTCTCTGTGAGGAAAACAGTCACTCTGGCTGCTGGGCCAAGAGGGGGCTGGACTGAGAGGGGAGGCGGTGTGGAAACAGGAGACCAGGGGAGAATCTACTGCATTGAACCAGGGGAATCGCGGTGGTGGCCTAAACTGGTGGCAACATGAGGAGTGGCTGGCTTCTTGATGTGTTTCAAAGTAGAGCCAGGAGGATTGACTGGTAGATTTCACATAGGGTTTGAGAGAAGGAAAGTAATCAGGGGTGACGACAACACTTTTGGCCTTAGCAACTGAACAATGGTTTTGCCATTAACCAAAATGAGGAAGATAAGTAAGGCAGGTTTTGAGGGGCAAGAGGGGTGCCAGCAGCCTGGGTTTTGCATATACTAAGTGTGAGTTGTCTACTTTGTACCCAAGTGTCTGCTGTTAGGAAGAACTTGGTTATGAGACCCTGGAGGTCAGGAGAGAAGTCTGAGTGGAAAGTAAGAATTTCAGATTGATAAACATTTAAGACTAGAAGTTCAGCTCAGTGGTAGAGCATCTACTTATCATATGTGAGGCCCTGGGTTCTATCCCCAGCATCACAGAAAAATAAATAGGAGAGAGAGAGATCCAGAAGAGTAAACACTTAAGTTGCATTTAAACTCATGAGATAGAATGGAATCACAAAGGGATTCCATTTATTATCTTTTTAATATGAAAGCAGGTTTGCCTGTTTTTCTGCAGCCACATTCAGCTATAGTAACTGGTACAGAATAGGATTTAACAAAGTGGTGATTTTGCCATGTAGAGGGTACAGCAGAACAAGCGAGGGCAGGCAAGGAAAGAATATCATGACTGCTCAGGGCAGGGAGATGGTGGGGTTCAGTGGATCAAGAAAGAGTCAGCCTACCCTCCTCTGCCCATCCTCTATCAACAGCCATCATTTGCTCTTTGTGTTGGTCATCAGGACAAGACACTGAGAATCCTTACCAGTCTCTTTCCTTATTGTTTATTAAAACAGCCTCAAAAGATGTCCTTATATTATATCCATCCTATAGCATGTGAGAGCATTTCATTTTCAATATCCTGTAAGCCTGGAAACAGCTTATTGCCACCATCATTTTTAATAAACTCCTCCTTAAATGTTTCAATAGTATTATTATTTTAATATCTTCTCTTTCATAAAATTAATTGTATTTGTAATTATGTTTGTTCTGTTTGTACATAGGACATTCCTGCAAACTCTTAAAGAAGAACATGGGAATGATTGTTATAAATGAAGGCTCTCTTGATGTAAGTGAAATTCTTTAAAAAAAAAAAACTCTTTTACTAACTTAATCACCTTGTAGTATTTTATTTTATTCAGTTAGCTATATTTTATTTTCCCAAGGCTAACAGATACCCTATCATTGTTGTTCTGCTTTAATATAGTTTTGAATAACATTGATTAAATTGATATACATCTTGGAATTGTATTAACTATAGAAATTGCTAAATAATTTTCTTAAGGTTATAAGACAGAAAAGGCGCTTTATAAAAACATTGTTGGGAAGTTCCTGACGGACTGTAACTTGTTCATATCTGAGTATTGTATTTTGTGTATCAAGCATTTTATGTCCGTTTTAACATCCAGTGCTAATATACGTTTTGCTTCTTTTAGAAAATTGTGAATGTTATTTAACAACACAAAATAATCATTACTGATAAGTTTTGTTTTGATGTGTGTGTTATGTCCTAACTTCTAGGGTAAAATGTAAATTCCTCATATGTATTTTTTCATGGCTTTGATCACCTGATGTCATATTTAGAAAAGAAATAAAGATTATTAGGAGTAGGATATAAAGTATAAGTTCACAAAATAATATGTAGGTCATATGACCTGAAAATATTTTCAAGTTAGGGTGAATATTTGTAATTTAAGGTGGAAGACAGAACAGGAAAGGTGATGATTATACAGCTGCTTGAAATAGTCACTGTGACGCAGAGCCAAGTGGAGAAAACCTGATAATTAGGCATGTTGGTGAAGCTGAGAGGCCAGCTAGGTAGGAGCCACGGTGAGGAGGTGATTGAGGAGGGAGATGTTTAGAAGGTGGCTGCAGAGCAGAGACTGTGTGTAAGCATTTTCTCACTTCAGATTTTTACCTTGAAATGATGGTCTCTTACTCATCCTTCAAACAATCCTCTGGTAATTTTCTCTTTCTCATGAAATCTTTGAGCAACTTGTCATTTAAAGATTAGCGTATGATTTTGCAATTATGTGAGCTGTTTATGCCTTTAATTATTGAACAAGTAGTTTTGGCGAACCAAACTTTAATCCTATTTTAAAACATAAACTCAAAAAATTCATCAATGGGAGCTAATCTGTCTTTCTTATACATTTAGTTGTCCCTCTGCTAGGCACTAAGAATGTACCCCTAAATTGTTGTGCCATGAGCTCTGACCCCTTTAACTTAACAGTTAAATGTGTCTCCATCATCCACATCTTGTATGTTAATTATTATAGCTGAGTTATTATTACCTTGTGAAAAATTATGAGTAAGAGGACCATGCTGTCATAAGCTTACACAATAAGTGAAATGGCATATATACAAATAACAGTACAAATCAGATATATAAATAAGGTAGATAGTTCACTATGGGGATATTGTGAAGCACGGTGTATTTATAAAGAAAGTGACATCTAGTTAGAAAGAGGTGTGTAATGGAAGAGTGGAAAGTATTTGAAACATGAAAATTCTCACAAGTAAGTTCAAGGCCTATTTGGGGCTTGAGAAGAAAAACAAATTTGAATGCAAGGTTATAATTCTTCAAATATTCTTATTTTGCTTCTTTTTAAAAATTGTGGAAGTTATTAAATAGCACAAAATAACCATTTCTGATAAGTTTTGTTATCCTCAAATATTCTTATTTGAAGAATTATAAGCCATAATGTAAAAATTAAGTTACAGAACAGGAAAAGTACAGATGTTAGAAAGTGAATCTGCACCTTTGCATCTGATCTGCCGGTTTATCTCCCTGGGACAGGCCCCTACTTTCAGATTCTGGAGTTACTCTCAGGAGTGTATGTCAATATACAGACCTTCTGTTGTTAAAACAAGTCATAGCACATTATATACAACACGTTTTATGTACTTTGCTTTTCTCGCTTACTATACCTTAGCAAATGTTCTGCAATAGATGTTTGAAGCTATCTAATTTGTTTTAACATGGCATGGTATTTAAAAGGTATCTATAAGTAAATGATAGAGCTAAAACTGAAAAGATGATCTCAGGCCATCTGTGGTAGCCTGGGCCAGGTTAGGGAATGTGCCTGCATAGGAAGAGAGAACCTTCATCAGCTCTGTGCTGAAGAAATATGAGAGACTGTACATAGGCAGCCTTGGAAGAGCAGCAGGCATGGAGTACAGGCAAGGGGCCAGGAGAAGAGTTTAGGTCACCTTGGAGTAGGATTGGTGGCACCAGTACCAGCGATGTGGTGTGAGAAAAATTGGGATGTATGCCATCTGGCCCCTGAAGGAGGAGTCAACAAGGATGTTTCTGGAAGTCCCATTTGGTCAGAGTACTGTTAAAATTGCAATGGAAATAATTCCCACCACCCTTGGTGGTGGTTACTCTTTTTTTTTTTTTAAACACAATGCCTTTATTGGTTTTTTATTTTAATGTGGTGCCAGGGATCAAACCCAGTGCCTCACGCATGCTAAGCAAGCACTGTACCACTGAGCCACAACCCCAGTCCCATGGTTATGCTTTGGTGGGTAACATGGTTACATGTTTTCTTACAGTCAAAATAAATCAGAGATAGGATCATGATGCAAAAGCAGGACAAGCCATGGCTGGTCTGACAGGGGACCCTTTTCATCTGGATCTAGGCTCCCACCTATGTAGAGTGTGGCAGCATGGCTGCTTTTCTTTTATTCTGTTCCATCATTTTTTTCCATTCCTTGGATAAATATTCTTTTGAGTGTTTTAAGTATCAAGTAAATAATAATCTCAAGGGAAAAAGAAAAGCAAAATACCAAAAAAATATTCATTGTAGTGCATCAGAGTAGAGTCACAACAGTGGCATTTATTTTCATTTTGAAGTTTCTAAGTTGGTAGCACAAAATTAACAAACACCTCAGGGTACTCGCACTGCCTATTTCTACTGGAGCAGATGTAGTTAAAAGTGTCAGGTAGATAACACAGTGTAGGTGCTATTGTATCTGTCTGTTCAGCTTTAGCCTCTGTCTCAGCGTCCAGAAAACTATCTCATGTGTAAGAATTATGCTATTAATATTTGAGAAGCAAGTTACTGCATAATTGTTAAGAATTCCATTTTTTTAATTGGTGAATTCCATTATTTTTAAAAGTCATGTATCAGTTTTAACTTTGGTAGTACTTCATAATATCTGATGTTTTAAAAGTAGGATAGTTAAGAATCTCCTTATCCATTCAAGTGGCAGGTTGGGGCAGGAGGCAGACTGTATGAATGAATTAGCACTAATTTGTCCAGCTCCTACCCGCCAAGCATTCTGCACCACTGTCTGGGGAAGGCTTTCTCCCAGGGAGTTAAGTGGTGACTACAAATCCGGCTGTTTAGGGTCAGACCTGCTGGGGTGCACTCATTTGTTTCTCAGCAGGAAAGGAAACATCACTTTGCATAGCGACTTCCTATCTTGTGTCATAAAATCCATGGCTGAGGTTTCAGGCAAATCATGTGAAATTCTAGGATGCCCGTAGGAACATCATTATTTGTTTTTCATTGCCACAGAAAAGAAAAACATCCTATCTATGTTTAAATTGTACTGATAGATAATAAGAGGAAATAGGATTATCACTGCATGAGCATAAAGAATAATTAACAAGTAATAAACTTAGGAACATAACATCTTAGGAAATGAATTGTGAGTGTGTGTTTTGTCAAGTGACAATTTTAACGAGCACACTCAAATTATTCTCTGAAACAGCCTAGTGGTTGAGAGCACAGTTCTGTCCCAGACTAACTGTGCAAGTTGAAAAAGCTTCTGTGAGCCAAGTTTTGCTGCCTTTAGAGAGAACATCACGTTTGGCATAGGATTAGTATGGTTAGCCCAATACATAGCCCATGTGAAAAGGAGATGTTATGAAATTTTGTAGAAAGAACAGTATTCCTGTTGCTTGTAACTTGTTTTGCATGATGATTATCTTTGTTATAAAAACTATTTTTCCAAGTTTTAATTTTTTCCTAAAGGAACAAATTATAACTGTAGATTCTCTTTTACATAAGTGATACATATTACTATGAACTATTCAAATTTTCTGCAAAATGTTATTCCTACTACTGTTAAAATTGAACAGATCAATCTCTTTCTCTTATATTAAACTTTTACAAAGTATTATATTCAAGGATCTTGAAATTTCACATAGAAATCTGTTTCTTCTAGTGATTCTATTAACAGAGATCATCGTCTCCCAAAATATAGATCATCATCAAAAAAAAAAAAAATGCTACTGGGCTTTCTTTCTTTTGGGGTTTCAGCATGGTTGTTGTGCTGGGGGTAGGGGGCGGGAGTAGCTCTTCCGATGTTTTTTAAATCTTTTAAGTAAATGCATTGAACCAAACTATAGTTGAAGATACAAACAGAAGGAGAGTCTTACTCTGCAGACCTAATAGGGAAACTTGAAAGGTTTGCCTGCCTCCATTTACTCCCAACTACTATCATTGTAAGAGCAGTGCCTCCTCCTTAGACAGTAGACTGTCTAAGGACAGGCTCTTATAAAATGCCCATCATCAAAAGAGTTTCTCAAGCAAAAAGCTTGATTCTTTTTTTTAATTTAGAAAATAATTTCATAGGTAAAGCTCATCTAAAGTTGATCAGAATTTTCAATAACTATTTCATTTGGGTAATTTGTATAATTTGTTGTATACTATTTGAGCCTCTTTAATAGGAGTTCTGATTATGCTCTTCATATAAGACATTTCCATAAGCATCTGCAAAGACAAGAATTCCAGATTGCTGGCTTGAAGAACATTTTTATACTTCCTCCCTGACTCCACAGCAAAGCTCAGGAAATAGCCCACAAACCTCTCAGAAGCCCCTTCTACTGAATAACCTGTATCTAAGGCATCCCTTTTGCGTCTTTGAGTCATATCTTTGAGTTTGTCATGAAATAATTCCTTCAAAGTCTGTCAAAACTGGAAACATCTAAACTGTGAGCTAAGAACTGGAGAATTTGATACTATGACCCAATTTCTAATTCACTAAAACAGTTCTGGAAGGATTGGGTTTATGATATACTAAGAAATATAGTTTTAATACTATACAAGAGCCTCA